TTTGTTAATAATTCGACAACCACGCCTCGGACAATTTTTTTGCAAAGGAAAGAATTGTTTAAAATCACCATGGCTCCTCCCCATTTCAAGGCCTAACACTAGTTCTGGGACACCCTGTATATATACGAACGCTCTGGTTGGTCGGTAATTTTTGTTAATAATTCGACAACCACACCTCGGACAATTTTTTTGCAAAGGAAAGAATTGTTTAAAATCACCATGGCTCCTCCCCATTTCAAGGCCTAACACTAGTTCTGGGACACCCTGTATATATACGAACGCTCTGGTTGGTCGGTAATTTTTGTTAATAATTCGACAACCACGCCTCGGACAATTTTTTTGCAAAGGAAAGAATTGTTTAAAATCACCATGGCTCCTCCCCATTTCAAGGCCTAACACTAGTTCTGGGACACCCTGTATATATACGAACGCTCTGGTTGGTCGGTAATTTTTGTTAATAATTCGACAACCACGCCTCGGACAATTTTTTTGCAAAGGAAAGAATTGTTTAAAATCACCATGGCTCCTCCCCATTTCAAGGCCTAACACTAGTTCTGGGACACCCTGTATACACAACAGGTGCCCGTCAAGAAGGCTTGACGTCACCAACCTTAGACGCTTTGGAAGCAAAGTCCAGGTAATGTATCGCGCCGTCGGAAGGAGCAAACTCGACGCTCGTTCACGTGATGGAATCTTCGTCGGATATACCGAGGAGACGAAAGGATACAGAATATGGATTCCGGAAGAGCGAAAACTGGTGATCTCGAGGGATGTCGTATTTCTCGACCAGTGGCCGACGTTGCCAAACTCAGGAGAGAATAACGATGAGGACGAGGAATTTGATTTCCTATTTACAGATGCCTCTCAATCTCGTAGAAGTGACGAGAACGAAGGGTCGACAAGCGCGGATCAGACTCAACGAGACGACGACCCGGAGGAGGAAGATGTCCACGATCTCGCGCAGACGCACGCAAGGCATGGAGGTTCCGTTGATATCGATGAGAGTGACGCAGACAGTGAAGACTCCCTTAATTCGGACACTTCTGTAAACGGGAAAAGCCAAGCTGCACCGACAGACCGAGTCTTGAGGTCACAATCACGGAAGTTAAGCAAGAAGGTTGTGCCTACGGACCGAGTTCTACGGTCATCCTCGTCGAAATCAAACGAAAAAGCAAGTATATCCCAAACCACTCCGATCCCTGAAGAAATAGAGCCAGTCGCTCTCGCTTTTCTGTCAGAGGTACCGGTAAACGAAGCACTGTCCAGCCGTGAACATCAGGAATGGATGAAAGCGATGGCAATGGAGATGGACTCCATAATCTCCAACGAAACTTGGTATCTCGTATCAACAAGCCAAACCACGTCCAAGGTCATTGGCAGTCGTTTCGTCTTGCGATAAAGATCAAGCACGGAGAGAACGA